CCGAGGGTGGTCCGAAGGCCTTCCACCCCTTTCTTCTGTCACAAGCCTCTCAAGATGATTTCGGCGAGAAGAAATTAAATAATGAAGAATCTGTATAAATGTATGTATGTTTCTAGCATTGTGATAAAACAACGGTACCTAGAGCCTTCAAATTTTGAATAACGTAGTCCTCCTGCGAATATGGGCATCTGGCATCTGGAAGCGCAAATTTAAAATTTGCAATTTGTTTTATTATCGATTTAATATTTTGTAAAACTTTAACCAATTTATTGATTAACAAAGTCAAGGAATTTCAAAGCGAGCTAATGACAACGTTGTACAGAAAAGACATTATTTAATCTCCAGCGCGCGAGACTCTGTATCGGTAATTCTAAAAATATGCTCAATTTTAAAATTATTTTGCGATACTGCTCTTTGAACTGAATTTTATCGGTTTAAGTGCGAAGAACATGATATTTAATAAATAAAGGTACCACACAAAATGGTAAAAAAAGCGCTCCTTTGGACGTAATTTAAAATCTGAAATCTTTCAGATTTTTAAAGTTATTTTTATTTATTTATTTATTTTTCTTGTGAGTTCCTATCTATTTTTTCAAGATCACAAAGGAATGATGGCTATACATTATCTCTGACCATGTTAAATGCTCATAACGTGTCGTAATACGAATCATTTTCACCGGCATTACTATTCGCGGCTAATTGTTGGTTTCTTTAGTTAAAGACAAATACGCAAGATTTTTACAAAATTTATCTTTTCAAAGGTTTTAAAGCATACTTTTAATACAATTGCTACTGCCGAGTATTTTATACCATTTCAAAATAGAATCATTTTAAAAGAAGCTCAGTTTGTATTAAGAGCACACATTAATTTAGGGAAATGCATTGAAGCAGAAACAATGAAGAGCATCAAGATAAGATGAGAAGTGTTCGTTTTTAATTGCGTTGAGAAATCGCACTTTAAAGCCATCGTCGTTTCTAATAAAAGTATAAAAAAATAAAAAGTTTACATTACTGTTTCTCAAAAAGAGCAATTGAGGTCAGAGTTAATGTTATTTTTAAAAGTGAATCTCTCAAGTAATAAAAATAGGGAACACAGTTTCCAATGAAAAGAAATTTGAGATGAAAATTTTTGTTCCCCAATTTCCCTTTTTTTCTTTTATTGTAAATTTCATTTTTTTTTCCTGCTGAGGAACCTACAGATAGTAACTCTGTATAATGAAATAAAAGGATTGTTAATACAAACAATGCTAATAACTTCACTTTTCCTGGTTCTGGTCTTTCACCTGAAATAATTAGAAAAATGATTAAGAAATAGCAATAAATACAATTCTTATGACGTATATAATATACGAAAGAGTAGAAAAAGGCTTGGGTGATGGATATTACTGTCTGTGTTTTAAACATAAAATGGCTCCATTTATATTTCTAATAATTTTTTACCTCTTTATGTATTTTCTACGAAGAGTCTGATGGTAAATAACAAGCAGACAAAGCAAAATTTTTTAGTTCTATGTACACCTGAAAAGAAAATGTATAAAAACTTCGATATGAATGAAATCAATTCATTCTTTTCACGCAGCAACCAGTTGGTAAATAATTTTTTTGTTGCCATACAAGAATACAAAACTTTTTACACATCAGATTTTTAATACATATATGTATGACGTCATGATATGTAATATAACAATTTTTTCTCAATATCAATGAAAGAATTAACATAGCAATAACATACCGCGTCAGTAAACCTAACTTGAAACAAAAAGTTGTCAACAGTAGCTATTTATTTAAAATGCTATCACTAAGGAAAAATTTTCTACATAAAATGATGCCACATGCAGTCGCGGGCTTTCTTCAAATCAGAATATGACATTATATAATAATAACATATTTTATTTTTCTCAATGCTATTTTTATTAGTCCAAAGGAATTTGAGTCCCGACGGACTATTACTTTCGTTTTGGCATTTTGCGTCGGACTCCTATAAATGTCGGTTCACTTTTCAAACTGTTTGCCACAAAATGTTAGAGTCTTGCATATATTGAAAAAATTAAATAATGAAAATCTGCCTTAAATTATGTATATTTCTCGCATTGTGATAAAATAACGCTACATAAGCCATCGATTTTGAATGACGTAATCCAACGAATTTAGCTGTGGAAGACAAAATTGAAATTTGGAATTTGTTTTATTTCGATTTCCTATTTTGTAAAATTTTAACGAATTTTGATTAACAAACTCAAGGGTTTCAAAGCGAGCAATAGCAACGGTTTGTGCAAAAAAAAACATTTCTTATCTCAGCGCGTGAGTCTCTGTATGGGAAATTCTAAGATTGCTCATTTAAACATTTTTGAGCTGTTGAACTGGATCTATGGTTTTAAGTGCGAAGAATATGATATTTAATAAAGAAAGGTAGCACACAAAATGTTAAAAAACGCCCCTTTGGATATAATTTAAAATCTGAAACATTTCAGATTTCTTTTTTCATATTTTTTAAAACTTATTATTAGCAAACAAAAAAATCTTACAAATTTTTTATTAGCAAATTCTAAGATTTGAAAGCGAGAGTGGCAACACTTTTGGAAAAAGCATTTTTATCTTCAGCGACTCTCGAGACTATTGCCACTCAGAAAAATGAGAACGAAAATTAGCGTTTTCAGAGTTTTTAATTAATATCTCGACTGATTAAAATCGTACGAAGATGAGAATGGTCGAAATGGCTTCCTACGAATTTTTGGAATCCAGGCATATCTCTCGAAACTCAACTCCCCGCCGTTCCGAAGGAGATGATGCCACACACAAACAAACAGATAGACACGCACAGATTTTGATAGTATAGATTATAGATTATACTATTTTATGAATTCGAGGATTTAAAAATAAGTAAAGCTATGTTTGTGGCTAACAGAATAGAAATTGTAGAGTGTATTAAAATATGACACATTTTAGGACAAAAGTCATTAGTGGAATATTGAAGATTTCTTGCTGAGTACTGACATGCATTGAAGTACCGCTTATCGAAACTAAGCAAGGTTATTTCTTTTGAACAAACTTGGAATTATTTTCGGTAGCTAAAATTGGAAAAAGATAAGTACAAAATTTCTAAATAAAATCTTAGAGATAGGAGGTCATGGGAAAAATAGTATCACTTGCCCACACTAATAATTACTAGTACAAGTTATTGTTTCTATTAACCGTGCGGGTTATCATTCTTAAATTATGATACCATCCTTAAAATCCTTTAAAAATATAAACACACATTCTTAAAGCTTTATTTTTTACGAGCAGGGAGGGGTTAAATGTCCAAAAATTTTGTGAAAATTCTTTGCATAATATAACTTGCACGTGATGGAGGGTTAAAATTTCAGCTTAACTATGTTATCCAAAACAGCAAACATTTAATTGATATTTCAAGCAGAATTCAAAAATACAAAGCAAGCTATGTGATCAGCCATCTTGGATTAGTCATCTGTATGTAAATTTAAGGTTTAAGGAGAGTATATTTGTTTTAACAAAATAGACTTTTGGTACATTCTTCTAAAACAATCGTGGTGTATGCCTTTAACGACATTTAAATGCCTGTAAGCATTGCGAAAGCATCACTGTTTTGCTTACGATACTTTGATATCATTTGCTTTCAAGTTAAAACACGTATTTACGTTTCAAAAACCAAAGACTAAAATATTTTTCTTAAAAAAAAGTTTGAAGTGATTGGTTTTGGAGACTCAGCTTGTAAGGTTTCCCTTAGTTCAATTAACCAGTTATTCAAATTTTTGTTATCTTTTCTGAACTCCTCAACTTCCCCTCTCATTTCCTCCCTGGGATGTTAAGTGAAGTGAGTATTTAAACAGCTCAATCTTGGAGTTTATTCAAAGCATGTTTTAGCTAGCCAGCGCATGTTACGAGTCTGTCCTACGCGGAGTTGCTGATACGCCTTCTTGGCCATTTAAATAAGTAGCACGCCGGGTAGTTTGTTGACTGAACTTAGATAGCCGTAACTTAATTTGTTAGTTCAGCATTACTCTTTATCTTTGACTTTATTGTGTAACGATTCATAAATTCCACCGTAAGTTGTCGGTGTTATTGTAAGCATGAAATACGTGCCTTTCCTGTTCAGTGTTTGACGAATAATAAAGGGTTATTTTCACCCTTCTTCTGTGCTGGTATTCTTTATGCCTATGCGAGAAGTCGCCAGGTTCCTTTGAAAGATCTAGCGAAGTTTATGTTACCGAAGAGAACACAGTCTTACAAGCTGATTTAATGTTGCTTTTCTTCCTCGTTTGGATTACAACGGGGTTTTATTGTATAATAATGGGCATTAAGTATAACCCAGATGGTAGAAGAAACAATTAATATTTTTATTTTTTATTTCAATATTTTCGCTTATATTTAAGTTAAAATTACGTAAGGAAAAGAACAATTTAAAAGGAATCATTTAAACAAATACATATTTTTAATGTATGTTTTCAAACCAAAAGCCAAACACAGAGGGGGGGAGGAATACTCATTTGTCATTTGAAATCTTGTTAGAATTGATTTAGTGCTTAATACCCAGGATAAAAAGATGAAGGCTAGAGAAGAAAAAGGGAAAAATATTCTTCATTGTCAATGAACTGAAATATGCGTCATTTGAATTAACGACCTCTCACTGCTCATTTCATCTAACTCTGCACGATTTGATCTAAAGGCTATTCTCGGAACAAATCATTGTAACTTTCCAATAGGTATATGCGATGTAATACATTATAGATGCGCTTAAAGTCTTTGAATCCAACACGCTCGAGTACATCTCGTCGACCAGTGAACTAGAAAAATCCATCCATTCATTACTTTTTTATGACTATTATTGTTTTCTCCCCGACATTGACCCGATTCGTTGATTTCTGTCTCCTTCGAGGGGTGACCTATTGCTGCGGGGTACACCTCCTCATGCATTTGCAGAGGAGACTTGAAGAGGGAGAATATTGCATTATTCATATCTTTTCTCTTTTTTTTCTTTTCAGAAGCTGTGACCTATGGACAGGTGGATGAAGCTAATAGGTTTGTGGCTTGGTCTTGTGATAGCCACATCAGCTCAAGTACATCAGCAGAGTAAGTAGAAGATTATTCACTTACCCATAATAAAAAGAGTTCTTTATGGTAGATTGATTACCATTTTGCGTACCAGACCATTCCATCTGACTGATGTATGAAAAAATAAAACAAACATCGTGCTTTTTAATATGTATGTTAAGTGAAGTAAACAATGAGTAGCTGACCATATGGAATCATATAAATCTAACAGGTTAATTATCTGATAAATCAACACCTACTAGTACTTTCCATGCAATCGTTCTCAGGTATTATTCCTGTAAATAAAAGCACAAATTTAAAACAATTTTTCTTAAGGATTATTCCTGTAAATGAAAGCACACATTTTACAAAAGGGCACAATGTATTCATAAACAAATTGAAACACGGCTTGGATTAGTTGAGTAAAATTTAAAAACTATTCGTTACCTTTCATTGATTCGATGAAAACCAGTTACAGTAAATATGACTGATTGCTTAAATTAATGTAAAGGATTTTTATTGGAAAAGTTTCAGATACTTACTATTTTGCATTTTTTCAGTAAAAGTTAAATGTATTCAAAAATATCTGCACTAAATCAAATTTCAAATGGTCAATCCAAGTTGTTCCTGATTATAAATATTTTAGTGTACCCGTAGTTCAAATGATTGGACTTTGGTTAAACTTAAACATCAGCAGTAAATATCAAAGTTTTCCTTTCCATTTTTATATACCGCATTAATTAAAATTCTAACCATTCTCCAAGTTTCTCAGTTTATCATAGGGATATATCCGAGTTGCTCAGTTTATCAGAGTTAAAATAATTATATCGGTTTAAATTATTAAAAATAGCAAATTTTTTATTCATAAAGTCAACCAAGGGAAAATGATAAAATGTTTGATTGTCAAATAGCAAAATGGGTTATTTAAATAATACTGCTTTTTCCTGAAAACATGCCTCATATTTTATAACTGAGAGAAAAATGAAAAAGCTCATTATTATGACATTATTAGGACCATTTAAACGAGAGAAAAAACAACTAATAGAAGAGAAAAAAAAAATTGGATTAATTGAAATTTTCTTTTATCGAGTAAAGTTCTTTTTAGGATAAAAAGCAACTGGGACAGAAGAAGAGTAATCTCAAGTGCTAGATTGCAACATTTACTTAAACTTAGCCTAATCTTTCTTCATACTAAAATACACATGATCGAAAATCTTCTTGCCTCTTTATTCAAATAACTTATAGATTAACGTTGCTATTTTATACTTGTAATATATGAATACATATTATATTATATTAATTTAGAGCAAAGCGTAAGAGGGCTGTTTGCCAAAGGGAAGAAAGCCTTTGTGGAGAACTTTTTATAACTTGTTACGTTTTAATGTGGGAGAACCCATGCAACGGTATTAAAAATGTTTGACCTAGAAACACCGCATGTAATACAGCAACGTCCTTAAGTGTTTGTTTTTAGCAGTCTTTCAAGACAGTACGCTAGATCTCAAGCTTCATCTTTTCCCTCCTTTCTTTTTGTATCGCGTGCTACATGAATTTCTTCCAACTGATACGGAATACGACATTCGAACAACGCGCGTGCATCAGATTTAGTGTCGAAGTCAGTACAAAACATATCAGAAACACAAAAACTGTTCCAGCAGGCATTTGATGACCGTATTTTAGGTAAATCATTAATCTGCGCGTGACATAGATGTTTCAAATACAGTCAAAAAACGCTGTAAGACAACGAATGGATACCACCCACTTCGACAAGTATAAGCCCCGCGCATGTCGAGGAAAGTAGTGTATTAATTCCTGTATATCGTCAGAGAAGCATTTCAAACATTATGGAAATCTTAAAATCAGTTATGGTTCAGTTCAGATTGTTTTGGTTGAACATGAGATGAACTGTCTTCGAATTCCTTTCTCTTATCCTGATAACTGAATAATGATAGGAATTCTGATCTTCTAAGATTACAAGAATAAAGAATAGTGTACCAGTTTTATAGAGACTTTTGAAACCTGTAAATACTATGAATAATAGATGTTTTACAAGATGGAATTAAACGTAAACAAGATCTCACAAATATTCATGCTGCCCTCCATACCTCTTGTCTCCATGCCCCTGAGAAACGCGACAGAAGTGGTCCAAAATCAGCTCAGTTCTCTTTGTAGATTGTAAAAGAAAATCATCCGCCAGAAAAATTAATCACTGCCGCCCGAATCGGTACAGTTCTTAGTGGTGCCGATTGCCGTATCGTGGGCAAAGCTCGAATCTCGGAGATGTTTGTAAATGTACAATGTCTTTGCGTCATGGGCGTACTTAAACTATAAGTCGACCGAAAAGTCCTTTCGAATGGTTTGGTGATAGGCAAAGAGGAGTCGGAGATGCTTGAAACTGTGCCCCGAGGAATTCTCCTTCAAAATTGGGACGGATTTAGGATTAGTGGCATTTTTATTTAAAATATGCCGGAGACACGTGCCAACGATAGGCGCAGTCCTACGCTCGCTGCCGCGATAAAATTGGTAGATGTCATTGTCAGACAAGTGAGTTATTATTGTTCTAATGTTATTGTCAGACTTGTTCTGTTGTTAATGTCAGGTAAGTGACAGAAGTCAACAGAAAGTGAATCAGTGCACATTATAATATCAGCATGCTGAGACTTCTACGTTGAAACTTTAAAGCTTGGTTTTACACTGTCCACATGGAACTTAAGATCTCAGTTTTGTAGGCTACTACTGCAATACTAAGGTCTGACTAATACAGTAGTTCTTCGCATACTTTTCCCCTTTTACGATTAGTTTTAATATTCGAAAATTGAAGGCAGAAATTTAGGCTAATAATTTAATTTCCGAAGGATGCGTTTACTAAAATGTAGTCATGGATAAACTACAGATAACTATCACAATATTATTTCTTTGAAAGAAACATACATTGCAATAAAGATACATAGGAGCATTACAATATCTAATAATCTTTATTTCTAGTTCCGTGTAACTTAAATCTGGATTGAATGTTAGTTTATATGTGCTTAGCTATGAGTTTTTAACAATTATATAGTTAACAATAGTTTAACAATTTAGTTTAACAATTATATGGGAAACGTTTGGCGTGACCTTCGCAGGTGATTTGCGAAGATTTGACTTTTTTAATAAGACGTAAACATAAATCACTACGTAGACAAATCTATTTAAAAAAATATATAAGGGGAATTCATTTTCTGAACAGTTATTGAGAAAGAGGAAAATTCTGAGAATATTTTTAAACTTTTCAGAACCTGTCACTTAAAAGAAGAGAGAAAATACAGTATACCATAAAAAATTATCTAACCAAGTAATAATGCAGCCCACAAGTGTATAAAATTGCGGCATAATTTTCCTGCTCCTCTTTCATGACTTAAGTCATCTGCGAGTTGTGTATATAACTCATAGATGAGAATTATTTATCAGCATTTTTATCCGTGATTTATTTACCAAAACAAAACTTTATACTTCGTCTAAAATAATAATGAAGCTGAAATGGCGGATACTTTTGTATAGTAAAATATATTTAAAAGAAAAGAAGATCTTTCTACTAAATAGTATAAGAAAATAGGATCTACGTAAAGAATTCAAGCAGAACACTAGCATAGTAAGTCAGTTCTAAAACTATTATGTTGCAATGATTAAAACTAAAATGAGCCTTCCCCCCCCCCCTCCGTTTTTTTTTTTTTTTTTTTTTTTTTTTTTTTTTTTCAGTAGCGGGTCATCAGAATTTTCGATATCAGCGCTTTGATTCAAATGCATTCTACTAAACTGCAGACGAAAATTACATTTTTAGACGACCGTGTGTTTTACGTTTTCTAAATCTATTAATTAGTGTTTTCTGTATACTCACTGTGAATGAAGTAGAAGTTCCCAAAACTAATTTATGTTTGAAGCTTAGTTTTATGATAGGACAAATACCCCAGAAACATAATTCTAAAATATCTCTTTTCAATGAACGCTTTTCAAATCGAAAGCTGTCTGATTTATGGTAGACAGTGCTGGACCGATTAGAGAGAAAAATCCTAATTATCAATATCGCAATTGTAAGCTTTATAAAAACAAGATCTTTAAAAATAATAAAAGCGAGATGCTGCTGTCAAACTGCTGTAGTTAATCACAATCTCTTCATCATCTTTGCCTGTATCGAAATGTATACCTTCTCCGTTATATAGGGATTTATACAAGGTGAGCTGAATCGCATTTCGAAATTAAATCTCTGATATTACAACCTCGTGTTTTCCAAAATCACAATGCCGAGCCTCAGTCTTAAACAGAAAGTATTCGAAGATGGTTGCTCCCTCTCTTTGGTAGCTCAAGGGCTTAGATCAAACCGTAAAATTGCAAATCCTAATTTCATCCCAAATCTATTCCAGCTATTTTATTTCTAAAACTGAGAATTTCAAGATTTCGTATGTTATTTACCCCCTCTATAAATTTTTATATGCAATTCGGATATATATCTCGTATAAAACGTTTACGAAATAAGTGTATGAAATTATCAAGAGAGGCATAGGAAATCAACAGTTTTGTAGAAAAGTTTAACTCGAAATTTTACAAAATGTACGACTTTGTTAAGCCTTGTAATTGCATGGTATACTTCAAATATCACTGAACTTGATGATATATTTGAACTAATACGTCAAATACCATAATTCACCGATAGGCTATAATAATAATGAAAATCAAACAGAGAAATGTTTTACAATACAGTAGTAAGTGATATGTTACAATACAGTAGTAATTATATTTTACAAATTAATAAATATATGTGGTTAATTTTCTAGAAGTGGCAACGTATGAGTTGTAGTTTAATTAGTTAAAATGCTGTAGAATCATCAGGTTTCAATTTTTAGCAGAAGACATGAAAAATGTGCAATACCCTCGCCGGGACTCGAAACCTTAGACCTCTCGAATACATGTCGAGTATGCTTCCAATTACACCCCGAAGGTATGCGAAAAAGGTACGGAGAAAATACGTTATATACTCCCCCTTTTAAACGGCGACTGGGGATGAGGGG